TCCACAGAATCCCTGAACTCTGGAGAAGTGAGGATACAACATCTGCCATTTGCGTTATCTGTTGTTGAAATGAAGGCACATGCGCACCAGGCAAATGGGACCTCAGCGAACAACAAAATGGAGACGGCGCTGTGACGAAAGCTATTCCAGAGGCAGAAGGATACGGCTGATGGTACTGGTTATATGAAACAAGCATTTTGGTGGGAGCAGTTTCAGGATATATGAAACAAGCATTTTGCATTATTTTGTAGTATTAATGTTGCTCTCAAGGATGGATGGGCCTTTCTGGAAAAAGAGATTTCCCACATCCACCACCTACTGCTAGAAGCTGTGCATCCAATCCCAAAAATTTTAATGGGATTGACTGCAGAAACGGGCAAAAAATGGGAAGGGGGGGAGGGGGGAATTTGTAAATCTCCCACCCCATTTTTCACTGAAATTTCAAAAACTTTCCACCCCTCTATAGTAACACAGAGTGACCATCTGTCTGGATTCTCTGGTGCATTTTGTGAAGGTGTAATTCTAGGATCAGTTTTTGGCAACAGTTGTCAGACATTCACTTTGCTACACAAAGCCCCATTGAAATTAATCTGAAATTTGCAAGCTGCATTTCAATGGGGCTGTGCACAATACTCAGCACAACACTGTGCAGAAACAATGGCACATAATAACATCAGCGCTGCTGGTGCATCCTGTGTTCTCACTGCAGCATTCTGTGAACAGTGAGTTGTTATATTTGCCATAAAAAATAGCAGGATAATAAAATACAGAAAATGTCAATACAGCATTGGCCAAATTCCATAAAGAACAGGAAATACAAGGTTGCCGAGATTAGAAAAACATGTTTAAAATAAAACACATCAAGGATAGACTTGTAGTTCAACAAGCACTGTGATCCGAGTATGTAACATTTATAAAGTGTTTTGTGGGACCTTAATCTAAGATGGAGAAAGCACACTTTTTAGAATTTTCTGAAGGAAGATTTTCAAAACCAGAAATGGCTGAAGAGTGGCCTGGCCACCAGATAAGAAGAATGGAAAATGAAGAAGATGAAGGAGATTAATCTTCAGTTTATGCAATTTAACTGCACTGGATTTAGATTGCAAGATGTCTGGGACAGAAATTGCATCTTCCTCTATATGACACTGACTTCATGTCCTAACATTACAGACATAAAATAGTTCTCTAAGGCACAGATGCAGCTGGAGTTTACATTAGCCCATCTAATGTTTATCATTCATTTAGGACTCGCATACATAACTTATTATTCATTATGGCAATGAGTGAAGCGAAGGATACTGCTTCAACTACATTAAAGCTCATTTCACTCCAGACATTTCCTTTCTGATTATTTCCACTGGAGGACGCTAGACACTTCTAAATACTCAGCCTGACCCAACATGTTCCAACACCCGAATGAAAACGCTGAGAATCCCTGAGAATCCAATTTAATGCGGGAAGCTGCTCCCAACGTGCAGAGTGTGAGAAAGAATAGCTCTGCTTGTTAGAGATATTCCAGCACTGCTTCACCGTGGGAAACTATTTCTGGCATTTTGTTTTTTTAGGGGCACTCTGGGCATAAATGCATGGAACATGCTCTTTATTGTGCTTTCCATTCCCCTGTACAGTGCAAATTGATGGTCACGTCAGAGAACAACAAGGAAATATTGGCATTCACCCATTTCCAACTCTTCGTTGGCATCACAACTTTTTCTTTTCAAAGCGAGGAACAATTCCAGTGTCGTCCTGTGGCAGACTGCTGTCTTGTTCGTTCATTTTCAGACTCTCTTCTGCAAGTTGCGAGAGATACTTCTGTCATCAAATTAAAACAGAGTGTCATTATGGAGACTGATGATACTTGGCGCGCAGCGATTTACAGCTTTAGTGCACTCTTGCAATGCTCCCAGGAGGTAGAAAACACACATAAGCCCTGTCTACGTTAAGGGAATTTATCCCTACATCTGCATCAAATATAGCTATCTCATGGTAAACTTCCTTAATGCTGACAGGACAGAGAAACGGAGCGACTTGCTCGGTGCCACCTAGAGAATCAATGGCAGAGCCAGGAGAGAACTACAGTTCGGGAGAACCTCACTTCTTGTTTCATGCTCAGTCACCCCTGGAACAAGCCCTAGACCCTGTCACCTCTACTTTCTTTAGGCCATCTCCCCTTCAACTCGCCTACCACACTTTTGATAGAACCATGCTTTTAAGAAAAAAGGGGAGGCTGCTGCAGGGCTCCCCAAGCGAGGTCTTGTACTCATGAACAAAGCTATCACTGCTCATGGGCTTAAGGGCTAATTATGTGACTACCTCATCTCCCCTTATAGCCATGCCCAAGCCTTGTGGATGTTATCAGTCATTGGGCGTTAAGCCCCATTTTCCAATCCAGTCACTCTCTCATCCGTGGGCCTTCAGCCCCAGCATCTACTCCTGTCAATGTGGGCCTCTAAACCTGGAATAGTCTGCCACTGTTGAGGCCTCTGGCCCTTGTGCCTTTAACCATCCCAGCCCCTCCTGGGCTTGGGCCTTTGTACCTCAACCCATCTCAACCCTCTGGGACTCGGGGCTACTTTCTCTGCCCCTCCTGGGCTTAAGCCTCATTATCTCCAACAGACTCTGCCCCCTGAGCTATGGGCCTCCTGGTCCTGCCTGTTCTCACCCCACCTTCGCTACAGGTCCCTGACCTAGCTCTTGCCCCTCGCAGGCTATGGGTCCCGATCCTGGTGCTCGCTCCTCCTCAGCTGTGGGTCCCTGACCTTGCCTGCTCTCACCCCTCTTTGGCTGTGGCCCTGCTTCTCAGCCTTGGCCACTATTCCTCAGGTCTTGGCTGTGCTCCCGGGCTAGTTGGGACCTCCACTACCCCTACAGCCTTAATCCCTAAACTACTGGTGCTTCCACGCAGTTTAGATGCTTTATCAGAGGCTCCCCTTGCAGCTCCATGAGCTCTTCCCTCCATGACTCCTAGGGCTAGACTGCCTGTCCAACTTAAGCCCTGAGCTTATATCCTTCAAGCCCAGCCCCTTTTTGGGTCACGTGGTTCCCATGATTGCCCTCTGCCTCACCTGTAACCTGCTTTTTCTGTAGCCTGCCTTCCTTTAGATTAGCAGGAGTACCAAGCTCCCTGCTACAATCAGACTATGCAGATCATTTGTACTTGCAATGGAGTAAAGTAGGAGTAGCTCCACCAAGGAGCTAGAATACAATAAAATAATGCTGAGAACAAATGCAGCTCCTGATTTAATATGTATGAAAAGTTAAATAGTTGTGCATGCAAGTCTATTCATTTTAAGGGAAGGAGAAGTTAAGAAAACAATAAACCACTGGTAATATCGAACAGCCTGGCTCCCACGTTGCCTGTCCTGAGTTGCTTTTAAATGATGGAATCTAATGCCAACAGGGCAGGTGTAAATTTGATCATAAAATACATACACAGTTGGTGAAGTTTCTGACTTTTTGGCAATGCCCTGGGCTGAGAAAAGGGCATACAAAATTTTAGGCGAAATGATGCGGCAGTGTCCAGTGAGGATCATCAAAAGCACCTATATAGTAATCTAGACCAGTGGCCAGCAACATTTCCTAACCGTAGATGAAATGACTCTGCTCAGGTTGGAGGTAAGTTGGTGTATGGACCTGGTTTCTGCTGCTGCCACCAGTGCCACTTCTTACCACCACTTTTCCCCATGGCCTGGTTGTAGCACAGGCCAACCTCCCCAGCAACTGTAGACTAGATCCAATAGCTTCATGGGCCAAATCCCTGAGACAACCCCTGAGACCCTGTCTGATTAAAGGCTTGTATACACCATTACATGGCATGCACTGTATACAAGAATCACTGGAGTGTCATTAGGGAACACAAACCCAACAACTGGTAAAATGCTCCTCCCTGTGGATCTCAGCCAAGTAAATGCCAGTTCCTTCAATGCCTTAAACAGATTCATGTTTCGGTTCGTTAATGCCACCAGTCATAATGAGGCCACATATTTCTCCAGGTATGTGCAACTGCTACGGTGTTGGATCAGTTACCCAAATATGCAGCCTCAGTGAGAGAAAAAGGATTTCTCATGGCAATACTGCTACATGCACATGATCACTCTTTCACCTGCCACATGTCTCTTCTTTCAGTGGTGTCTGTGTGTGAGACTAATATATGTGGCACAGACTCATAACTTGACGACCTTCATCTTTGAGAGTGAAGTTCAGACTGGTTCACTTCTTCATGTTTCATGTGTGCAGCTTAAATGGGAGGTGGAGCAAGACTATTCTTCAGCTTCCAAAGACAAGTCTATTGTTTTGGAGCGACAGTAGGAAGAAGCTGGTCCATTTCTAAAACAAACTTTGCCCAGATTGTATTTATATTGGAGTTGTTCTTAAATTGTGTAACAGGTGTGGATAGTATAGGAAATTTTGCTAATGCTTTTTATAAAAAAATGTAAGTGGTTCAGTGTAATCAATCACTGTTATGATTTACTATATATCCTGTACTAGACATCCTGTGAAAAAGCAGATGGAAGCAAAAACTGCTAGTGGCATTGTTGGGGCAAAATGCTGACATACTTGACCATATGCTCTTAGCTCAGATGCTAAAAAGGTCCTGGCTGCAGTAATTACCTTTCAGTTCTTTCAAAGTGGCATGCTGGTGCTGACTGTCGAAGAGGCAGGATAGAAGAAGCCTTTGGTACATACATGAACAAAATACATCCAAAAGAACAGGGACAGAGGCCGTAAGTCATCACGTCTTCTTCTTGGGATGATTGTGCGTGTGTAATTCCATTATAGATAGTTCCCAAACAGTTGTCACAGTACAGACTTCAGAGTCCATTAGAAAAGCAATATTGGGAGTGCATACAGAAATTCTCCTAACTAAGCAAGTATACGTGCATCCATAATGCAGTCTAAACTTTGACCTGTCCTTGACATCTGTTTCTCAGATACGTGGTGATGAGAGGGACTGTGAGTGAATCCTATTTACAAAATATATTGGCCACTATTTCATCATTCAGAGACCATTAATTAGAAAGAGAAATTTCTGCTGCAGGTAACAGCTGGGGGTTTCCTCACCCCAGGCTCAGAAATTGCTCTTCGTACAATGCCATTATGGATATAGAAATTCTACCAATGGAATTGACAGCAGAATTGACCTCAGTTCACCCTCCCTGTTCAAACAGCCCATAGCAGCTGTGCTGTCCATCAGTACTTGCATTATGCAGCCCTTTGTAGCAGGAAGAAGCGACTCACATGTTCAGTATATTCCTCTTAGTTCCCCAGACTTGTGTGTAAGGAGGCTCTGGAGTTGATTGGAGAGTCCAAAACTACAGACTTCTCGGATGAATACATGGATCTTCAGTTGAGTTACTTGTGACCAGGACATAGATGGTGCAGGAAGACAAAAAAGGATCCCTTTACAGATGCTGTGTGGCTCCACCAAATCAGGGAAGCTGGCCCTCATGGGAATGATGTGAGCCAGACCGGCAGGCATCTTCGTTGAAACCCGGTATGCTGAGGCACATGCACGCAAAAAGCCATGTGCCCTACTACACTGTTGTTCTTGGCTCTGTTTTCAAATTTTTGTGCAGGGTCAGAATAGTAACAGACCAGTCTCAGCTGAGCAAGCAGCAGCTAAGACAGTATTTGAAACTCTTGTTTTTAAAACTGGCATTCAAGTTGATTTTTCTGTACTAATTTTCAGCCTTGACTGAGAACCCAGGATTTGGATTTGCCTGAGGGAATCTTAGGGCTCTGGAGGTTACAGGCTACTGTGCTAGTCCCTGGCATCGCACAAACTCTGCCCATGCTGCTGACTTGTGTGCGAATCATGAAGAAGCTGTTTTATAGCACCCTGACATTTTTATACCATCCAGACTGTTACTTATATGAAGCTAATGATGAGTTGGTTTTACCTGAAGATTTTTGTAGTGAACAGTACTTCTGCAATGACTTGTTTTAGCTGTCTCTTCATTTGTGTAGAAGAGTCCACAGAGTTTGCAATAAAACCCAGTTCTGGGCACCACAAATTCCATACCTGTTGAAGGATTTTGAATCACATTAAAAATGGCAGGTGTACTTTTAGGGTTTGCTTTTTATGAGGAAAAAAAGTGTGATTTAAGTAAGGGGTAAAGACAGCTAATTCCCACATGTACTATTTTCCATTTCACTTAAAGGAACTTCAAATGCTGGGATATCCATCAACAACAGTTGAAAATGACAACTTTAAACCTGAACACTTCAACTATGCATTGTATACTTTTTCTTTTATATATTATATGCATTTCCTTTTAAACATTTTTCAGCTAATACATGGATTTGAGTTTTGTGACATAAATAGTCTTGTTGCCTAACGGGATGATCTTGTCGCTACAATACTTACTTTTGGCAAATTTATGTGCAAGTTACACAAACCATCCACAAGAATGCCAATATTAGTGCAGATCACACCGTGTGTGTTGCTGCTGATCTTTGCTTGTGTAATATCATCAGTAATTTTAGGAGCCAAATCACTAAGTACTGTTATGTCACAAGATTTTGAATTGTATGTAAAGCTCCTTCTTTTAGAGAGAAAATGAGAAGATCACTCCACTCTTAAGGTTTCCTTATCACTGACCAACGCTCCTATCAAAGGCCAACCAATTTCCTTAGGAATGTGAATATGTGTACACTACAGTCCCAAAAGGAAGTGCAGTGTAGTGCAGAGATACCTGAGCTAGCTTTAAACTATTTAGTTGGGCTACTGTTAGCAGCTTAGCCACAGCAAAACAGAGCTCAGTGCTGGTTAACTGGCCTCGCTTCTTGGGTAGTGTAGACATATCCTGTGTCATCACTATGCTTTAGACACTGAAGACCAAAGGTGCTCACTTTAGCTCATCAGTGCCATTAATAGATATTCCTAATGTCCTGAACAATTATAATTATCATCTGGAATAAAAATCCCAGTTCTTTCATCGTTTAAGCCCCTCTTATCTATACCTCTTCCAATTCTCCTGTAATTTGTTTTGACAAATAAATACAGTTAGCAGCCTTCAAGTGACATCTTGTTGCAAGTTCAAGGTATTGTAATAGGTAAAGTCTGAGACTCATGAGCAGCATTCCTTCTAAGCTGTGTGGTGTGTGCAGCTGTGCAGGTACACTTGGCAGCATGCCATAAGTGCGCCTGCGCAGCCATGCACACCACGCAGCTTCGAAGGAACGCTGCTCCCGAGGTCCGTACGTTTAAACCTACCTAGAGGAATGCTGAGTTCTGTGAACACGTCCTCTTGTTCCCAGGCCGGTGAAGGATGCATTTGTTTAGATTCCACCTCTGAGTATTCAGGAGATTTCATTTCCGTGTATCTAGAATTCGCTTAACAGACAAACAAATGCACTGAATGAAAACAGTAGCTTTTACAAAGCCATCTAAACCACTTTTTTGATGAAGCCAGATGCTAAACATGACCTAGAGATGATGCCCATTCAGTTTAACACCATGCGGCTGACAATAACTAGCCAAAAAGAAACTCCCATCCTAATTATGAAGTTTTCTGTAAACAGTTTCTTGTTTTTGCTGCTTTTGAATTTTTCCATCTGACTAATTGCCTAGTGTCATTAGAGAGAGAGAGAGAGAGAATGTTCTTACTGGTACTTGTGGCATTTTATATAAGAGGGCTACTGACAAACACCATTATTTTGTATTCATGTTTAGGGACATACCCGAGACACGGTGAGAAAATGGGTTTTTCATCCTGCTCGCAGTGTGCAGAGCCAATTTCACGGGCATTTCATGGTGGCCCTGCCTCTTGCCACTGACTGGCAGAAGGTGCCTTTACTCAGTCTACATCACTACAACTTCTTTTGGTTGATTTTGCAGGAAATTGCAGTCACTGCCAGATTTCCCACTGTTTTTCACGGTTTCTGCAAAATCTGTAAAACTGCAATTTAGGTAGGTCCCTATTCATGTTAAATACATGCAGGCAGCAGACTTAACATTCAGAAAAATAGTGTGTTCATTTGCCACGAAGGATTAAGGCTGCTTAGAACAAATGGTCTTTCCCTCCTTTCCAAGCCTGGAAATTTTCTTTTCTAAACATAAAAGCATTCAGGATTCCTGGCCTTATTATTGAGATACAAAATTAAGAATAAGCCATCCTGATTCTCAGCCTGCGGTTTTAGCCTCGGCTGTCTTTAGTCTAGCAAAATTCCTACCACACTGGGAATTTTACCCGAGTGAGGACTGCACTCTCTCATAAAAGAAACATATTGGGTCTGAACCAACCCCCTTCACCTTCCCAGGGCTGGTGTTCAGAGTTCTGCATTTCTGGCTTAGAACAGGGGCGGGCAATTATTTTGGGTGGAGGGCCACTTGCTGAGTTTTGGCAACCATTGAGGATCGCATGACAGGCAGCTGGGGCAGATAAATATTAATTTTCTAAATGTTTTAGGGGCCCCATGGGCCGGACAGAATGGCCTAGAGGGCTGCATTTTGCCCACCCCTGGCTTACAACAAACCTCTCTGCAATGTTTTGAGAATTTGTATTATTTGCTTTCTCCAGATACAAGTTGCTGACTTCTGGCAGGTCAGCTATTGTGTGAACTTCAAGCTCTTCCCAGGATTTCCAGGCCCCAGGTCAGCAGCAGGAAGCTGTGAAGTCCTGCAAGCCCTACCTTGAACTGGAGCACTCAGGATCTCCAAGTTGCTGCTATGCAGACTACAGCCTAGCCTGAGAGGGCCCATTTTACCCAGAGGCATACATGCTCCCAGCTCTGAGAAAGAAGCCAACATGCTAGGCTTTGTGGAAAGGGCGAGGGCCCCAAGGATTTTCAGGCTGCGAGCTGCAACCCAGTAGGTTGCACAGGGAATGGGAAAGCCTAGGGAAACAGCTGGCCTAAGACTTTTGAAGCATTAGCGCCTTTGATCCCCAGGTAGTTCACCTGGCAGTACTGCCCCCAGGCACATGGGCATTGGCAGACTGCCTTGTAGCCAAATGGATGAGCTGGCAGCATTTCCACACAGAACATCTCCAACCAGTTACCCTACCCAACCTTCATCATTCAGCCTAGAGTAGCACCCATGGAGCTGAACTGAACTGTGTCTTCTTTGTGCTGTAAGACTCCAGGTTTGGCTGTCACTTGATCTAGGTTTGATGTGATGTGGGAATGGGAGCATGACTGGGAAATGTCAGGCTACTGAAGCTGTTATTTCCTAATAGCTATTATGTTAGTAGGCAGGTATAATTAAGCTTATTCTGTTAGTATATCTACATTCTGGCACTGAATTATCATGTTATATTACAAGAAACAAACAAGAAATAATTGTACATGGTAATTCAGGTCTCTACAAAAAGTGATACCACTTGCATGAAAAATATTCATCCACAAAATATTTCCATGTCATATTTGCATTTCAGGTAAGAAGTACAGACCCTGAAGTTCTTATGTGGGTAGGAGTCAGGCAGGCTTGAGAGATACTTCTAATACTTTTTGATCTGCAAGAACTGTCACTTTTCATTGACAATTCAAATGTGCTTTCAGCAGAAGGCTCCAAGAGTTCAGCTCAACTTACATGAACCCAGATGTGACAGCTATGGCTGATAATGCTTTACAGAAATCTTAAAAGTGACTTTATTTCTTTGCGACCATTTGACTAAAAGCCTCTAATGGTTTAACTTGGCTTATGGAAGTGTGGTTCTTTAACTGAGCCAGCCCAAGGACAAGCCATACTATCAGCAGCGTGAATTCTTGTTAGCAAGAGATTAAACTCTTGAATGCTGCACCGAGAGAACTCACAAGAATTCTCAACTGAAAGAAAAATCAAACATAGTAGCAGCAGTTACCCTTGGTCTCTTGACACTCCTGGCTTCCTTGGCTTGCTCCTTCATTGGTGCTTTTCACAAGCATTTCCATGACTTCTCTGCTCTCCATTTCTTGTGATCCCATTTGCTTATAATCATCCGTAAACTGGTCAGGGAGCTGGAGGGTCTCTTCTTTCACATGATCAGATGGTATATGGGGATCTTCTGGTTTTAAGTCACAGCTTCCTTCCATTTTCCTCTCCTTATCATGGTAATTAGAATCCCTATGAAGTTTGTCTGCTTGCAATGTATCTGGCTTCTGTTCAGTGTCCAGATTTAGGTCGGATGCTTTAGTAACTGCATCATCATTTTCTGGACAGCCACTGGAAGCTGCTATGCTTTCCTCTGCTGACACAAAACTTGGGTCTATAGTTTCATGGGCAAATATGCCATCACTCTGATTTAATTGGCTATGGTCATTTTTCAGTTCTAAAATGGTAGACACGTAGGGACACATTTCTGAACTTGTTTTATCTTTATCAACCGGAACAATTTCTTCAAGTTCCGTTATATCAGGCTCCATAATAAGATCATCTTCTCCCACTTCATCCACTGTTACTAGTTCTTCCATGTTAGTCGGATACCAGGCCTCACCTTCCATCTCGCTTTCACTCTCCCAGTCTCGCTCCTGTAACAAACAAGGTGGGAAAGAGAGCAGTCATGACATCTTATCAATATGGGCTTTAGAGCTGGGGTAAGTGATGCTTTCGGACTAGCCATTTCTGATGTCCTAGTATTCCTAAAAGTTGTTCAATATATCCAGATGCATATAAATACAAGTCATTTCACAATAGCCACACAAATGCTGCTGAGGTGTGCTATGGGCATATTATGACACCACCTAGGTCACAAGTGGCCAACCTGTAGCTCTGGAGCCACATGTAGCTCCTCAGAAGTTAACATGGCATCTCCTTGAATCTTTGCACCAGTATACGGTGACCAGCTTCCATTTGCACCATGTGCAAAGATTCAAGCGGACACATATTAAGAGCCACATATGGCTCTGGAGCTGCAGGTTGGCCTCCCCTGTTCTACGTGCTCTTTTATGTCCTAGAGTAACAAGTAAGTGGTCATCTACTACCGTCACTTCAGTCCACCATCAAAGACCCTTTGCCAAAAACATGCTGGTACAACCCGGTTTAAGTTGTGGGAAAGTTAGGTTTCAGAAAGATGTTAAGATGGTTGTCATCTGAAATAGCAGATGAATGCCAAACTCCCAAAATCTGCAATGTGGTTGTTGTTAAATGCTCAGTGCTGGACAGTGGACTTTTGTTCCAAAACATTAGGACTGGCTTGGAGAACTGCATTAATTCTAAGGCATGATTATTTTTAATGCATACTTGCAACAAGTTGAATTCAGCTCCTGGAATTTCCTAATGCACATAAAAGATTAAAATATCTACGGTTTCCCCTGTTTGGGTATTTAAAATAATTTCTCCTAGAGCCTTAGGATGGCGCTAACACTCGTGTAGATACTGTTCTTGAAGGGAGATCAGTTTCCTACTGTAAGAGATATCAATAGCTTCCATAACCATTAACCCATTATTCTAAAGATATGAAGCTGGAGAATTGCCAAAGGTATTGCTCCATGCTACTTCAGTGTTGGAAAAGACATCATTCAGTCAAACAGAAATATATATTTTTTAAAATGAGTTCTATGCCATCCATTTAATCCCACCATTCTGGAAAGATTTCTTCTCTGAAACCCTCCTCTTCAGTTGCAAAGCAATCATGCCCTATTTTTGGATATGGTGTGCAGAGTTAAGATAGTCCTTTCAAGCATACGTTACAGTTAATTGCCACTGCCAAGTGCTATGCATGCGAGGCAGACTACACGAGGAAAGAGCAACTAAAAAAAAAGCCTCTGAAGACCTCAGATCTCCCTTGATGCAGAGGTCAAGGGGAGGTAAATGAATCTAAACAGGCCCTCAGAAAATCTCAGAAATGACTTTCATTGGGGTTTAGCATTTCAACTCAGAATATCTGCTGACATTTTATAATAGCAGCTAAACCAGCAAGGCATGATTTACCTTCTCTTTTCTTGCACTTTCCATAGTCTCTCCAGATTCTTTTCCATGTTTATTAGCTGCAGGTGAGCTCTTCTCTGCAATATTCTCCTTTTTCCCAAGCTAAAACAAATACAACATGTATAGCTGTAGTGACACTCGCCAGTAATCCTAAACAGAGAGATTTCCATTATGTTTCTATCCAGAGTCTGGGGCAGCGAAGACATTCACAACGTCACATCCTTTGTTTCTAAAGTTTGTGCAAGTGCCTGGGGAAAGCCTCAGTGATTGGAGTCCTGTACTCTGAATAGAGGCAGAAAAAACTAACAAAAAACCCTGGAAATTTGGGTGGTGGCGGGAAGGCAGGGCATGAAAAATGGAAATTATAGAAAAGAGCTGTCTGGAAAAAAGGAAATTCACAACAGTTTCCAGCCTCTCCTCTCCTGTTTTCCAATCAACTCAACAGTACACACAGCACCAGCAAAATGAGTTCCTGGTTTGTTTTAGAGGTATGACTCAGAAATGCACAGTTCATATTCTGGGAATACAAGCCCACAAAATGATCTGGTGTTTAGAAAAAGGTAGGAAGAATGGGACTTCTGGTTTTGGATGTGGAGGAAGTCCCTTTGGCCAGAAGAGTGCCTTTTACCTTTAAAACCCGTACAAGGTTTACCATTTAACACAGTTAGCTCATGTTCACACAGCAAACTTACAATGTGTGGCAGCAGTGTCCTCAAGCCCAACAGCCTGCCCCCAAAACCAGAAGCAGTATAGTTGCATCTGCCAAGTACTTTATGTGCCTTAATTAGCACTGCTGAGTGACAGACGGTTGGCCTGCCCTTGAGCTCATTACCCAGACCTAGTGGGTTGACCTGGCTAGACTGCTTCCAGACCTGAGGGCAGTCTGTGCAAAGCAGCATCACATGCTTAAGGGCACAGTAAGATTACCATGAAGATGTGACCCTAAAGACTTGTACGGATCTTCCCCTACATGACAAGAGAACAAGATGAACCACATCAACAGGAACAACATCAAAGACAGTCTTCATGTAGCTTATATAAAGTGGCTTTACAGCAGCCAGAGAGAGCCACTGGAGAACTCTCTCTGTTCAGGCAATGATAGGCACTGGGGCCCATCATCCCCACCCCCTTGTAAAGGGAAGGAGGGAGCATATCAACTGGCATGCCAAGTGTGGGAAGAGACATAGCAGAGCGGGGACATAAGTTGGGGCTGCCCTTGAGCACTGGATGGAGTGGCAGTGAACCGGGGAGTACTATGAGTTCCCTAAAACCCTCCTTCCCCACTCCAACCAAGACAGAGTCACGCCCATAGAGACTGCAATGTCAGCTACCAGCAGAGTTTGCCAAGAAATTCAGAACCGTGAATTAATGGATGGACTGATTCGTTGCTCTCTGCTGAGAGAAGACAACTAGTCCCTGCCAGATCATTAAATGAAGCAGTGCACTAATTATGAGTATTACTGGCATCACAGTCAAGTACAGGGAACTACAATGACTAGTTTCTTATTGCTGCTCCACAGCCATTACAAGCCCACTAAAAATCCATTATTCCAACATTAAATCTTTTCACTTGCACTATGCAGCGTGCCCTGTTCTAGATGAAGAAGCTCCCCCTTACCTCATTCTCAGTCACTTTGGCTTCCTTTGCATCACTGCTTTCATTAGCAGCCGTAGGATCCGCCTCTTGGTCTTTGTTAGCTTTCTTTGTTTTATTCTTATCACTTTGCTTGTGTCTGGAGCCCTCAGACCCCTTGCTGGGCTTCTGTTCAGAGATGTCCTCCTTCACTGGTTCCTCACAGTGAGAATGCTTGCGCTCTTTCAATCTCACATCTTCCTTTCTTTTAGGCTTTGTCGATGCATCTTGCAGCTGCTTCTGATGCCTATCAGATTTTGGCTTGGATGATTTTCTGTAATAATCATCGTCCCTGCTCTTGTAGCTGGGCGAACCACCCCTTAAATATTTGTCTCTGTGCCCTCTGCCTCCTTCAGTCCATTCATCCAAGTCGAGCTTGTCCAGCTGCCGTGCATAATGTTTTCTCTCATGTACCCATGCATCAGTCCTGTCCCTTTTCTCCTCTCCATTCTCTCTCCAGGGTGCTGTCTCTCTTTCTTCTTCTCTTCTGGAATAAGGGGACTGATCCCACGACTCTCTTCCATTTCCCCAGTCTGCCTTGACGGTGCCCAACGGACTGCGGGGTGAGCTGCAGGAAGTAAAGCTTGGTGTGTGAGATCTTGGCGACAGGGAGTGGCTGATGGGGCTGCGAGACCGTGGCCTCTCTGGTCCATACCTGCAGCAGAAGGCAATAAGCAAATAACTAGGTTTGTCTGAAGGAACTGCAGGAAGGCCATAGCCCATTTTGAAACAGCCAGTGACTCCTGTACTTGCACAATAGAGCCCCCTCTCTTTAAAATTGCACTGATTAATTATGGGCAGGCTGTCATTTATACATACGCTGCAGGCTTGTGCGTGTCAGCAGGTGGTGATTAATATTGCACTGACCTTCGCATCACACAGAATCAATCGGGAAAGAATGTACTTAAAAGAATATAATTAAAAGGTCCTGTTTTCTGAAGCCAGTGACTTAACACCCTGAACTGACAGACTGTTTGTTCATGCACCCCTGGTATCAGTGAGGTGATAGAAGTGGCACATCTACCTTGGATTTACAAGTTTTAAGGATCCTTAATTCTGTGGCTATCCCTCCACTTCAGCTGCAAGGCCCATAAATGTAAGTAATGGGAAACAGCCAGAAAAACACGAGACATGCACTGAAATACATTTTTAGCTCAAGTGGCTCCTTCCTCTGGCTCTCCCAGCACATCCAGACTGTCTATCTATTTTCACTGGTAGTTAGGCTCAACTGAAAGGTTTTCTTCAAGCTCATGCATGCCACATCTACATTATAAACCTCTGAGCCCATCCCTGGGCTTCCAACTTCATCCTGGAAGCTGTGCTGAACTCCTGGGTATGAGGTTATCTCTGCTGCCACTCATCTCCTAGCTCAACTCTCTCTGCAGAGAGAGAGAGAGAGAGAGAGAGAGAGTGTGTGTTGTGTGTTGTGTGTACGTGTGTGCGCGCGCGCGCAGATGCGCGCGCGTGTGCGTGCATGTGCGTACACACGTAAGCACTACAGGCCTTAAGCACCAGAAATACCTTAGCACAAATTCCCTGTTCATGTCTTCTGGCCCTCCTACACTCCCCTTTTTTTCATGACTGGCTGTAAGTACAGACAAATTTGATTTGCAGCTGATTCCTTCAAGGGCTCTGATTTCCGTGATGCAAGGAAACCTGGTATATACATCTCAGTGCCACTGAGTCCGGAAGAAAGAAGCACAATGTAGAAAGCTTTGGTGCAGGCTACAAGACCTGATGGTAGCAGGGAAGGCTGGCTGATGCCAACCTAAGCATAACACTAAGCATCAGTGCTGACATACCTTCAGGTTGTAGGGGAACGTCTTGATGTTTGCATCTCAGATGCCATACACAACATAATCAATGCTCAGTAATAATTATTACTAAAACATGTATTTTATTTATAACAAGCACCATCTTTCCAATTGCATCCTATTTGTTAGGCTGTGTGCTTTAACAGAGCATTTCTCAACCCACGAGTCATGACCCAAAAATAGGTTGCAAGACTATATGAAAGGGTTGCAAAGAAACTTTAAAAATGGAGTCTCCTTTAAAGGAGAAAAATGTGGGAAATGGCAGGTTCCCCTTGCAGGCTGGCAAAGTTCCAGCCTGCAAGGGGAACCTGCCATTTCCCACATTTTTCTCCTTTAAAGGAGAAAAATGTGGGAAATGGCAGGTTCCCCTTGCAGGCTGGCAAAGTTCCAGCCTGCAAGGGGCTGCTTGGGGCTGGGGGGGAGCACGAGCAAGGTGATCAGGCAGGGGGTGCCATGTGCACATGCACACACGTATGTGGCAGCCACCACCACTACCAATAGGAGAAGTAATAGGTGGGAGAGCAGGGGGGCTGCACTACCCTCACCTCCTCCTGCCGCCAGCCACTTGCCCTCTAGCCCGCCTCCATGGCCCAGCTGTCACCACCACCACTGCTCCCCTAAGGCAGCAACTCTACCCCAGAAGGGAAGTGGAGTGGTGGGCAGCATGGGTGGCCTGAGGAGAGCAGTGGTGGTGGTGATGGCAGCTAGGCCATGGCAGCAGCGTAGAGCCACAGCCCAGCATGTAAGCGGCTGGTGGAGGAAGGAGGCAAAGGCAGCACAGCCCCCCACCTCCCCCATCTGTTACTCCTCACGTTATTGGTGGCACAGCTGGTGTAGGGGTCCTAGTGGTGCTGGCAGCAATGAGTGTCACTGTCCCACTCTGCCTTCCCACACTGAGTCCTGCCTTCTGGGCCATGGAGGTAGCTACTTCCCATGTCGGTACAGCCAGGCTGCAGCCCCATGCCCACTGTGGTTGCATAAATCTGGGGGGCACATGCCCCCCACCCACATACACACCCTCTGCCCCACTGGGGGGCTGGGATCATGGGTTGGGAGTGACAGGCACCAGCAGGGCCAGGGGGCTGTTTTCTATTTAAACTATTTACTGGGTCAGGACTGGCCAGCAGCGTTCTCTCTAAGCTGTGTGTGGCGTGCACAGCCACGCAGGTGTGCCTGGCAGCGCAGCATGAGTGCGCCTGCATGGCTGTGCACACCGCACAGCTTATAGGGAACACTGCTGGCCATCGATGTTTACAAATGGGTCCTGGTACCAAAAAGGTTGAGAACCGCTGCTTTAACACATTGTTCATTTGTAATTTTTCACTGAATCATGCGAGTGGCACGTAAGAAACTTTCAAAACACAGAAGAGAACACGAAGGAAGCCAAGCAAGGACACCAGCACTGCTTGTTTGACTAGTAGGTTAGCAAATATTCCAGTGCTCCATTTCCCAAGCATCCAGTATTGTTCCAAACACAAGAGGTAACAGCTCAGTGTTTAGCATTTGGGTTTTTATTGCTCTGCGAGTTCCCTTCTGAACCAAGGCAGGGGTGATGCATTACCTGTCTGCTTCACGGAACATATCCCTCTCCCTCTGAGAATGGATGTCCTGGATGATTGCCGCCACATTCCTCCCTGGTTTCTACGTAAATCAAAAAATCGCCTGTTTAGAATCCAGTGCATTTCCAAGCTGTTTTACAAGTAGCAGCCTCTCTCAAGTGATTTTCCATGCACTTTTAGTACACTGCTTGTGAAATAATATTCCGACTCTGTGTTCTCCTTCCAAACTTTTCTAGAGTACATAGTGCAATACCATGGTGACTGATGTGTTAAAACTGCGTAAGAAGGAAAGACTGATCTGTTATAATACAACACTAGTTTTGGATTATATTATATTTTGAAAACAAGACACTCTCTTTTCTGCTACACATTCACTACAGAATATTTTCTAGGACTCTGTTTGAAAGAGGAAGCAACCTAAAACATGTTCTAATACAGGGATTAGATCGCTATGTCATGCATTCATTTGCCTCCTAAGAATGGATGGCCCTGGTATTTAATTTCACTGGTTAGCCCATTTAGAAATACGGCCCTACAAAAGTGTTTGTCGCCATGGGAGAGTCAAGTAAAGCTAAATGCAAGGAAAATTTGACAGTGGAATTTTGGCAATTTTAGGCACCTTGCTCCAAAATGTGATACAAACTGACAGGGTTAAGTGCCTAAGCTTCCTATACAGTGAATAAGAACACTTATGTGCCTCTTAAGAATGGCCCACAGCACCTCACTGCCAAGCAATTGCTGAGCACCTGTTGCCAGCAATTGAAAATGAGTGGCAGAGAGGGATATTTGAACTCCCACTGCTCCTTGAAGCTTAGGTGTCAGAGACCAAGGGCTGTACGAGAGGCACTTCAGCCATGTCCAGTTCCAGATTGCTCAGGGGATGTGCCTACTTGAACCAGAATGTACTGAATGACAGGGAAGCACAAAGCACAGTGGTGGTGCACACCTTCTGGCCAACAGTGTCATGGTAAGAGCATCTGAGACTTGTGTTCTAGGCCCTCTTCACCCTGAGCAGATTTATCTTCCTCTTCCCTACACCGTGCCTTAACCATGAGCTGTGGGCCAGGCTATGTGGCAGCATCCTCCATTCCTCCTGTTGTAACTGGGCAGCCAAGAATGCAAGATTCGCAGAGGAAGCAGAGCAAGCCAGAGGGAGTGTGACATTGTTGTCTGGCCACAAGGGCACTCCTCTGCTTGGGAGGAGTCTTGAGATCTTGCTCTGTTATTTAGGTTATTTGTCTTTTTATCCAACAACTGTTACAATGCTAAATGCATAAAGAGCTGGATAGTAGGGACCGTAACCAAAGGCTCCCTCTGACAAAAGTGTGCCCTTCTCCCAGAACCACTGAAGAAACACTTACCTGTGTCAGACCTGCAGACCGACTAAAAGACCTCTTGTTTTTGCCGCCCCACGCACTATGTCTACCATGCTGACACGTGCTGTGGCTGTGCAGAGACCCTCCATGCTTCATCATGTGTACTAGCTTCCACTAAGCAGATCTAAAAATGGGGCAGAGGGGAGCAGATTTGCAGCCTTGGCTCTGCCAAGCATGTGCAGTGAGCTCTGAGCTCACTGCTTGGTCAGCACAGGCTGCCAGAGTGGCGCAAGAGCAGTGAGCTCTGAGCTCCTCAGCTGACTGGGGCAAGGTCTGGCCAGAACTCCTGCTTTCCCATGACTCCAAAGCCCAAGGGGCTGCTATCTGCCCTGAATTCAGCAGCAGGTGAAAGGAGGAGACAAGCTGCGGCAGCAGTGCTCACCCCCTGGGCTCTGGGGCCTTGCCAAAGCAGGGGCTTCAGCCGGACCTTTTGCTGAGAGCTCATACACGCAACATAGTCAAAGGGATGGGGTGGTGGTAACCACACTACTGTGCCCCTCTGGGCCCGCCCCTGCTAGCTTCTGACTCAGAATTGCAGATGGGCAAATGTGGCACTAAGCATAAGCCCGCAAACTTAGCTTCTCAATGCAGCAGTGGCGGATCTCAGCATCTTGCCCTGAACCACAGAGACAAACCCACAGCATCTGCAGAGTTACATGCCTGGCTGCAGATTAGACTCCTGTTCAATTGAGCAATATAGGAATCTGTCTGTAAAGATAGCGGAGTAGACGCTTTAGAATCAATGGTGCAGTGGGACCAGATTGCGGATATTTAATGATATGGAAGCCTACAGCTAAAATACAAGGCAAAAGCCAAGTGTCAAGCAAAATGGGCTTGTTAACATGTCTTGGTTTGAGGCTAATTTGCCTCAATTTCTTGCTTTTTTATTATTTTTTCCAAGATTCTTAATATACTGATTAGAACCGAGTATTTAGCAGAGGTTTTTAGAAGGGTTTCTATGGGAAAACTGCAGTTATTCCAGTGTTACCGTACAATGAGGAACAAGTTTACAGTTTACCTTCAGCTGAAGTTCCTTGTATCTTTTAGACATCCTAATGAGTAACTTGTCATCGCTGATCATAGCGGGCTTCTCTTTGTAATACTGTACCATGGCCTGTGCTGCTTCGCAGTAAGCCATTTCTAGGAAGGCCTGTCATGAAACAGAAGAGGTGTGTAAATCTACTGTATGCCAGATAAAACATAGCAAAAGAAGAATGTGGTACAACTTCAGCTGGAATTTATTTTAAGTGGAGTTTTCTGACACCAGAGTTTAGAAGAGCCTTCCCATTAAAACATAATTTTCACAAAGGTTTAATTTTTCACCTGTATCACTAATATCTTCAAGCAGCTTCCACTATATTTAAAAAAGAGTAGATTAAAACCAGTTACAAGAGATGACATATAACTAAAAACAAGGAGGAAGAAACTAATTTAAGAAAAACAAGAAATAATTTGAAACTTTCAAGAACTTCCTTGAAATACTGAAAAAGGTCTTTCACTTTTCCCCATTTTCTCAGCTGCCTCAGTACGTTATGGTTGATTGGAAATAGGAAGCAGGAATAACGTAACTGAAACTGCAATAAGAGATGCTACTCCTGGGATTTCCAAGTAAGTTTTGCGGACTCCTTAAGTATCCAACCTTTTGTGTGCAAACGAAACAAACATCAAAACTTTCGGGGACATGTCTGTCTCCAGCACAAACCAGGCTGAATGAAAAAAAAAAAAAAATCAGAATGCTGTTAACCGCCAGCTTTATTACAACTTACTTAAATAAATTTCAATGTGACATAAAAAATGGAAACTGAAAATTCACGCGTGTAAATTTACTGTATTTTAAAATTTGATTATTGTGAGATGAGTGATTGTAAAACAAGAAATTACCATTTCAGACTTATTCCTCTTCAGTGACTTCCAAATACTTGTTCGCCAGTTTACAGTTTAAATGTAACACTGTAAATCAACCTGGGATCTCAGACCCCAGGCTGCATTCTTTGGGAATAACCAAGCACGAAGATTTAGTAGCCAGAGGAGTAAGCATTCAATGATGAATGAAGCAGAACCAAATATAATATACTCTCCTACAGCTATACTAGCTATGCAGTAAAGAGTAGGGAAAAAAAGTAAAGGAAACTCTGAAAATATATCACAAAGTAACATGGGCAAAGGAGCCAGTCAAAATGATTGTTGGGGGTGTTTTTTAATTTCTTTTACTTTTAATTTTCACTTTTTAATAGACAGGTTTCACTTATTTGCTTGGCTAAAAAGGCAGGAAAAAGATATTCTCCAGACAGTGTCTGACCCTAATCGCAATTTGATAACGCGCCTTTTGACTTTCACAGTACATTTCAAATATTCAAGATTCTAGTACAAATAAGGAGCTCCCCTACAAATTAATATGCCTAAATTCATAGCATGAGATGCAAAATACCTGATTAGTAGATTTCATAAGGATATAATTAGTGACTTTCCCAAAGGGAAGTCCAAGATTAATAACATCATTCTCTGTGCAGCTTCCTTCGGGGAGATTGCAGATGTGTACTACTCGACCAAGGGTGGATTTCCTTTGTGGAAACTAAGAAGAACAAAAAATTTTAGTACAGCATATAATACAGCAGTTAAGTACGGTTTTGCACTTCCAATATAAAATGAGGTTTCAGAATCAGTGCTGAATAATAGCTTTTAAAAACAAACATCCCTCTTTCAACCGTTTGTGGTTTATCTAAGGTGTTTCAGCTTTTCATTGGCAGGACATACCAAGCAGGGTGGTGAACTCACCATCACCAGGAACTTTTAAAATCCAGATCAGATGTTGTATTAAAAGACAGGCTCTATTTTGAACAGGAGTTAACTGAGGGGAGTCTACTGGTCTGGATGTCAGACTAGATCATTGCAATAGTGCTTTATGGTCTGAGAATCTATGAAGTTGGAAAAAGTTGGGTTGGAAAAAGTTCAGGTGACTGCCAGAAGGGTGGAAGTTAGCTGTGGGGCAAAATAATTTTTTTCTTCTGGACTGAACTATGTAGGAAGTAAAGGAAGCCCCATTTAATTTGTGAGGAGGGGAGTTACATTTCTATTTCACGTACTGTACCTACTCCCTTCCTCTTTCACTATGTCAACAGGACATGCCAATGACTTTCCCATGTGAGGCCACTTTTCCACAGTGAACACGGCCACAAGCAGGACAAACTTCCTAATTGCCTTGGCACAGACAAGAGTCTGGCAGAGCAGTCATCACTTCCAGACAGTAGAAATCTATTCTGAAATGCTGGGGCCATTCCCAAAGCAGTCTCCTGTATCCCATAAGTGGAAAGGGCGGCTTTACACTCCCGGTTCAGAGAGATGTACATGAGTTAACCTACTTAATGATATTCACTTCTCACTTAGGAGGTAAGTGTGGAAATACTTAACTGGACTTATCTTGCTATTTGGGCACTGCAGGAGTTTACTGAAGGAGTAACTGTACCTTCATTCAGAACATCCAGTTCAAGGAAAGATACAAATCAACTGAGCTAGGAGGATCAAGTTCACTGGAGTCATCACAAATGTTTGGCTTGTCATCAACGTTTGCAAGTTAGAAAGTGAATGTCACCTATCTGCGCTTGTAAAGCTCCATGCTTTAGCATACGACCATATGCATGTTTCTTGCATTAAAATGCAACATAGGAGAGAGACAATGTAGTACAGTATTTATTTAGCTGTACCTTAAAATAGGCTGCTTAGAGCCCAGGCAACGAGCTGTTATTGTTATTCTGTGCTTCATGAATAGAGCTTTTTGAATAATACTCATCGACTAAATTGACAAATGCATTTTTAATGAGTTAATGCATCTTTTTCATTATTATCCAGGCTACACAGTTATTCTGAGTTTATCATCTTGACTTCTCAACTTTTTCTTCAGAATAAAAAGGAAAGTCACATTGTTTTACTAATGCAGGGGTGTCAAACATACAGCCTACAGGCCAGATCCAGCCCACAGAGCCCTAGCATCTGGCCCCCAGTGCTGCCCTTGGGTTTGATCTGACCCACATGGGGCATGGTGCGCATTGGATCCCTCTGCCAGCAAACCTGATCCAGCAACTGCTCCAGCATGGATCCCAGTGGCCAGAATGGGCACTGCACATGGCGCACTCCAGCTGGAGTAACTGTGCCCCACATGGCATCTGCTCTGGGAAGTGCGTCACCCAGGACATCCTGGACTGGCTGCAGCAGGTGCTGTGTGCAGTACAGTCCCAGCACTGCCGAGGCAGGTGCTGCATGCAGCCAGACTGCACTGCATGCAGTGCCTGCAGTGCCCACTGTGCCCCCTCCCAGTTCTGTGCCCCATGCAGCATGGGTCTCAGACCAGCTGGAGCATCTATCACATCAGGTACGCTGGGGGAAGAAGATGAAGTGGGTCTGCAGGCCAGATGAGTTTGACACCCCTGGACTAATGCATCAGCTAGCTTTACTAGGTGGATACTAAGCAAGGCATTAAAAACACAGCTTCTGGCAAAGAAAAAAAAGGTGTTAAGGGTATTTACCATCTTACACTAGTTTGTTCCCAGGGAACAAAGCCACTATGAAATGTTTCCATTTTCTTTGATAAAATACATTTCCTCCTAAGTTTTTTATATCTAATCCCAATGCTAGTTAACCTTCAGTGGATACCAAGTGTGTTTCCTCCCTTAATTTAAACATTGAGCTATTGCCCATTAGTTATAAGTGACATACTGATTATTAAAAGAAAACTTATTAGGACTATATATAGCTTCCATGAGTAATTTGCCAGCTGGACATATAAAGGCATGGATCCTGTCTCCAAGTCTGTATACTGTGTGAAGCTACAGTGCCATTGTGCTGGCTGCAGTACGCACACACAGAAATCGTAAGAAACAGCCTGTGTCCCAGCGAGCTCAGGAACGTTACAATTATGGCCGAATCCAAGAGCAGAGATTTAGGACAAAGCCCAAGTCCCAGTAATGACCGAATAACACATTCGCCTTCAAAATTGACATTCAGTATAGAAGCTTGCAGGACGGATGCTGCTGGGGCTGTGAGGTGTCAGACTAGGTTGGCTGAGCTGCTCTGGCCCTTGATAATATTTTGTTTTGGTTTATTTAAGGATGATGATTGGGCTGCCATTGCCAATATTCCTGAGAACAACAACATGGTGTCAGGCATCCACTTAGCAGGCACTGTGAGTAACATAAAGCTACACTGGAATAGCTTTGGGCAGAGTGACATTGAAAACGAAAACATCAACACATGCAAGACCATAAAGCATTTTGGTTTTTTGGTCATGGATGCACACTAGATTTGGTGAATAGAGTTAAGGGTTATGCATATCGTGAGCACACCTGGGCAGGTTTATAGCTCCATGTCCCATTCCTGTAAAATCTGTTGTTTGTACAGATTTATCCAGAAACAGGGTCAACCCTAGACAAAGTTTGGGTGGCTCAAAATACTTGCTAAGATACAACAACATTTTATCAAGTGGCACAACTGTAGTGTTCAAACAAACACCACTATTTTAAAATCTGAACAATTAAAAATAAAAATACTAAACCAATGATTCTCTTTGTCCCGACATGGCTGTAAGAACCTATGGGACTTGAAAAACGTACCTGTCAACTAGTAGTTCAAGGACTAAACCAACTAGCCAGAATGAAAATACCTGCTCTCACACAGCCCAAATCCACATCTATATCCAGTAATTTAAGGAGGAGTTGCATACTCAACCTTAGATATGGCTCTCTGCAACACTGCTAGTCAATGTTTTTTACAATCAATTTTAAAGGAATTTATTAACCAAATCTGTCACATACTGAAACACAGAATTTGTTGAATAACTCACTTGATGCATACTACTAAGGTTCATTAAATACTACTAGTTAAACATTACTCCTAACCTACATACTCCTTTTCTCATGTTTGCTAGATCTTTTTTAATTGCTTGGCATTGCTCTTCAGATTCTGTATCCTTCCTCTAACCAAACACATGGCCTCTTTCCCTTTCTTCAGCATTGCGTGCAACTTCTCTAGAGCTAATCTGAAAAAAAAATTCTCATTCTGAGGAATATTTTAAGATTTCAACATTTGTTTTCATCCCAAGATAGGACAAAAAAAACTAAATAGCAAAATGATTTCCCACCCTCCTCCCTGCAAGCCCTAAAAAGGCTGGATTTATTTTTAAGAGATATCCATTATTGGGACAGTCTGTCCAATAGCCAGATCCCAAATAATACACAGTTGGCCCAGTACAGATGAGTCAAAAAGTGTTGTTGTTATGGCTCCTTCACCAATATGCTAACGAAGAAAAACCATCTTCATCCAACTAGTCAAGCTCTTCTATAACTGGGAAATCTGAATTCAGTTTCATGCAGCGTAGTTTTATAAGTATCGCTGCATTTGACACCTGTGGACAGATAAAGCTATTTACAGCCAAAGAATGTGCAGCAGATTCTTGCCGAAACCTGAATACTTTGTTTATCATTACGTACAGGGCCAAGCGTAATCTCCCTGCTACTCAGTTAAATGGCAGCAGCTTAGCTGAAAGTAAATACTGCTATATAAAAGCATAATAATTTATACGCTACTAAGATTGGGTGCTGGATGACAGCCTGTAAATCATCTGAACCAGGCTAATACAGCCCTCTGTATAAGCAATGCACTTCTGAAGAGAAAGGGGCACAGAAGTCTCCAAGGAAATCATAAACTATGACTTGTTCCACCTTTCACCATGTCACAGATCATCCACAAGCAGATGTTGTGCAGGCACTTTAAGTGATAAACACTGACAGGCTCTATTAAGCAATGATATTGTTATTAACGGCAATTTCATTCGTAGCTAACTTGACAGACATGATGAAATGAAACAATCCTTTATAACCTGCTCTTTCTCCGCCTCTGCACACAAAGGCAGACGTTATAACGCACTCTCCCTTGCTTTACTGTGCATGTTCTTTCTGTGATGGTGAAAAATGGAAATCCTCTCACATAATACTCCTAATGATGAGCTTTCACAGCATTAGCAAAATGAACAGAAGAGAAAACTGACCACTTTAAAGGAAACAAGGTGACATTTCCGGGGATGGTAACTTAAAGCAGAGGGGTGAGATGGGGACAGAATCAGCTTGGGTTTCCAAGGTGCGTTTGACACCACACAGCTCAGTAGACCAACATACAAAGGTGAACATAAAAAACAGTTTTTATTATTTGCATCATACTAGCATCCTACATCCATTTATAGATTTTTTTTTCTGTCTACGACCAATTTTAACCCTTGTCAATTGCTACCCTTTAAAACCCTACTAACCTTTTTGATTTCAGAACCACTTTTTACTTTCGCCTCTGGTTTGTGTTTGCCCCTCGCCATTTTTGTTCACTCAGGCAGAATTTTGAATGAGCACAGTGAGACTGGGATAAAGAAATGTTACTTGTGTGCGAGAGGAACGGCGATGAAAGCTTGGCAGAGCTATGACTTGAGTTGAGGCTGTGCGCAGAAGTGAACTGGCTGAAATGTTACAGACAGAAGCAGATGAGGCAAGTAGCACAGCCTAGTAGCTAACAGAAAACTAGTTCAGCAGAACACGGCTCCCTAACTCGGCACTGTAATCACCCCAGTTATGGACTACAACCACTCTCTTCTTCTCGTGTTGCCAGACAAGTGGGGAGAGCTCCAGTATGGGAACGATTCAGAATCACTTGTAGATTTTTTTTTTTTTTTTTTTTAACCATAACGGTGAACAAAATACTTTGAATTGATAAGAATTAGCCCAGATCTTCATCCCAAACCTGAACTGAACCTCTTTGGAGTTGAAAATTTCCATGTTTCATGTTCTTCTGAGAATTGACTCATTGATTAATCTGCAAACACTCTGTTTTCTACAATGAAGGTGAGGACAAGGAAAATAACTGGCTTGTATACTCACTCTTACCCCAGCTGGAAGGGAAGAAAACGTAGGAACTGGCTGGCTGAAGGATCTTGCCGACACAGTGGCATAAGATGAGCCAACGTTTGATGAGAAATCTAAATAATGGATTGTATACACAGTGAAAACCTTGACTTGTATTAACTGCATTCACGTGCTTAATGAAAGAGGCCTGAATAAATCAGAATTATCATTCTAGCTTCTATGCTGCATTAGAAATTGCTTTCTGTTACTGTAAAAATCAAACACTAATAGAAAGAAAACAAAATTCATATTTTAAGGTAGAATCTTGCCTTTCTTCATTTTTCTTTTTCTAGGCACTGCTTAAACAAGCAGCTTCTCGAGAAAACTTTTATGATGTAATTTTGTAAAGAGGCTATTTGTTTCACCAGATTATTTAAATTTTACAAAGTGCACTAGTAATATAATTGTGTAATAAACAATTCACCTTCAATACTGGAAGGGTTAAAAATTGAAGCATTATTTGGCGATAAGTGCAACGTTCCATCTACTGAACTTAACGCACACCGGATGCCAGTGCTGAAAAGGAAAAAAGAAAAAGCTTCAAGAAGCAGGAATACACTGAACACAAATATGTCATCAATATGAGAAGCTCAAGTTTGATCCTGATACAAGTCCACTAAAATCAGCGATTAACGTGGCCTGGAATCTCTAAAGTGATACTTACTTTTCCGAGAGCACCATACATTTTTGGATGTGAAGATTTCCTTTAATGTGCTGATCCCAGTCCTGTGTTAAAATAAATAAAGTTTATCAGCAAAGCAAATTTTGAGGCCTGCATGCAACACTGCTTATTTCTTGAACAGTCTAATTTCCTACACTGAAAGTATAAATTACTTAATATTTCATGAAAAAAAAAAAAACTTTGCAAGAGCATGTGAGGCATATTATTCAGGAAGTAAGAATTAAAGAGTTACACCTTATGAAAAAAAAGTCTTCATGCTGAAGCTCAAATGGAATGAAACTGGATCCCCACAGACTTTCATCCCATACTGACATCCTTTCTTACATTATAAGTGGAAGTATGATAAATGGGCATTTAAAAGCTACAGTTCCAGGAAATCATCCCTACTTATTTTTTTCAATTTATAAGCAAACTGGAAAAAAAAGAAAACCATCACATCTTCTGTTTTGACATGCCTCTCTGAGGTTGTATTACAGACCGATCCACCAGTCATGCTTCAGCATAACAGCAAAGTCTCAAAATGCCTCACTCTCCCCAGACATCAGACCCTTACATAGTGGATGTCAGCCATCAGCAGAACAGCTTAGTGGTTAGGGTACTTGCCCAGAGAGTGGGAGACTAAGCTTCTTACCTGCAGGGGGCTTGAACCTGCATCTCCCACTTGACAACAAAGTGCTGTAAGCAATAGGCCTTGAGCTACGCACTGTCTCTAGACCTCTTCTTGAGGCTGGCTCCCCAAAAGGAGACAAGCAAGTCAAAAGGATCATATGCAATGAGGTAGATACTGTCCCCATTGGAGCATAAACAAGACCACTGGTTTTTTTTAATCCATTTCATCCAACGAACATTAAGTGCAGAGAAATCATTGGGAGGGGGAACCTTTCTGCCTCTGTCACTAGGGAGTTAAAAATATACCTGGCTATTTTATTCATTATAGGTGGAAACAGAATCCAAAGCCTGCATAACGGCAAAAAATTGCACCTGTGTAGCTCTGAGTGCCACTTAGGCACTTAAAGGCGAAACAGACTTTGATCCGATAGTTGTATGATTACAACTGGCCTGAAAGGTGAGATACCCACCTGCTGTGCCTAACTTGGACTGAATAAGGATGAAACACTCTGCTCTGAATTAGGCAAAGACTTGTCCCTTAGCTTTCACATCGTAAGGTAGTGATTTAAAAAACACCAAGCTAAAGAGCGACAACACTGGTTTTCCACCGTTTTCACAGGAATGGAATAAATATTCATAGATTCATAGACTGTAAGGCTAGAAGGGACCTTGGAAAATCATCGGGTCCAGCCCCTCTGCACCAGGCATGTTGATGTGGCCGCAAAACAGCATTACAATCTGTCAGTCAGATTCACAAATTATGCCCACAGTTATATCTGGATTACACTAATGAAGGTTGCTAGGGTCACACAGGTAGAATCCTTTGTTTTAAAACATCATTGTGTCTTGTGAGAATATGCAAGGGTAAAAGAATGCAACCTGACTCTCAGACTGACATTTGATTTCTAGGGCCCTTCTAAGCAAGCTTTCGGGTATAAATACCCTTTGTCATTTTTTCGAACTATCTGAGTTGGTCTAATAAAAGATATCAGATTTACCTGCCTCTGTCCTTAGACCCACACGGCTACAACTTACACCCCTGAACATTTCTAGGACTGGCATTTAAAAATCAACCAAGACATTGTTACTTGTACAGCTGACCCTTTCAATGCACAGTGAAGTGAGACAATATGAACATAGGGACCCCAAAATCAATTCCATCAAATCACTTTTTAGAGCAGAACAATCCCTTAGAATGACTTACCATTAGATCAAAGATCTTTTTGTCACAGACCGTGCAGACATGTGGGAAGTGAAGCGGGGCTATCCCATGAAAGTCATTTAACTCATGAGGCTGTAGAGATCTCACGGGCAAATTGGATGCATTTGCCGCCAGGTCCTCATCCGGCCTCATTCGGGAACTGCTGAGGCTCTGTTTACTATTGTTGAGTCTGCCGAAAGGAGGTGGAGCCCCAGAGCTAAACTTTGTGTCAGGGGTGGGTTCTTCAGGGTTGTAGAGCTCGTTTCTTATTTCATACTGCTGACTTGTTGATGGCCACATGCTGGGACTGGGCATTAGGTCAGGCTTGTTTTGGCTGGAGAAATTAGGTACATCTTCCCACTGGTTGTTTGTACCTGCACCATGTAACACAGGACCTGGCTCTGCTTTTTGACTCACAATTTGATCACCCGGGAAAGCCAATGACTGTACCCCTGCTGTATGCTGCCCTTTAGAATTGGGTCCATAGAAATCTTTCTGAAACCCAGACTGGCTGTCATGTTTGAGCTGGCCTGGAGGACAAAAATGACCCTCATAGGACACTCCTGAATGCGACCCAGTGGTTATAAAGCTGCGCTGAGTGGATTGTTCTGCATCTGACGTGTATGCTTGAGGGGCAGAAACGTTTTGTTTACCGTATTCATAAAATCCTCCTGCAACAGTTGAGGGACCAGTCTTATTCAGACCCATCACTACAGCCTGTTGACTGGATGCCTGAGACATTACACTCCCAAAGGGGTTCATGACCACAGCGCTTGGGTTTTGCGTCTGCATGTTCCCAACAGGCCCTGTGCTTCCTCCTTGTGCTGCCAGAGCTGGATTCTGTGCTGGAAAAGGGATTCCACTAGATGGAAACCTAGCATTAGTGATCCCAGGTCCTTGTGGAGGTCCTCCAGCATGCCCCTGGGGGGTGCTGATCACGGACGGATGCCGTAACTGGTTAAACAGCGGCTGAGACATAGCCACTTTGGAGAGCACTTGATTCAGGACACTTGCAGCTGCTGGGTTGCTGGTGACTGCTGTCTGAGCCAATTTTAGCCTGTGCAAGGTAAGCTGAGCTTGGAGCTGAGCGAGCTGAAGACTGGCAGGAGAAGGAAGCAAAGGATTCGGGGTGCTGACAGAGAATGGGTTCTTCTCCAGAAGCTTGGCAGCACTGGAAAGGAACAGGAGACAGGCGAGTTAAATTGACCTCACAAATTTAACAGTGGCCCCTTCTTACCAAAATGTGGCCTGGAACATCACCCCTCTACCCCCCACTTGAGATTTACTTTCTCTAAACCAGGGAAGGGGGAGGGGATGATTAAGGATGCAGTATTAACAGTCTCTTCTACTTAAGTGTCTGCTGCCGTATTCATTTTAATTAAGATGTTACTGAAGAGATTAATGTTTCAAGGTCACTTTAAAAAAAAAAAAAAACCTCACTTTTGAATCTGATCCAAAGCCCACTGGCATCAATGGAAAGACTCCATTGCCTTCAGTGGATTTTGAAGAAGACCATCAACTCATTTAAAGTGTATGTTAGACTCATGACTGGCAAACTGTATATCCACAGAACAGAAACAGAAGTTCAAGATTTTCAAAAGACTCCCCAACATTTGCATCAACCTTTGGTTTAAAATTAAAGGATGCTGCCAGGGGCTAGATAGTAATTCCTTCTTCAAGGTTAATACAATCCCAGACCTCTCTACTGAAGCATTATGGCTTCTGATAGTGCTTTTGTGATAATATTGGGAAGGGGAATAAGACCGCTGACTTGCTCCAAGAACTGCTGGTTCTGTGTTGGCCACAGTTCAAATCAGTACACTGCTATCATAAAACCCTCTCATTCATCTTCTACTTTCCTATACTACAGGTTGCAACAAATGGGATTCTCTATTGAGTCAGTGTAAAAGGGGAGTCCACAACAAAGCTGGTCAGGTGAAAGCAGTCATTTAAGGAAAGGTTAATAGCCTGGAGAAGAGACGGTTGAAGAGATGCTTGACAACAGTCTTTGAATACAAAACGGGTGTTATAAAGAATATGCAGATCCATTGTTCTCTGTGTCCATGGGGACAGAACAAGTACCAGTAACTTTAAACTGCAACAAGGAAGATTTAGGTTAAGATGTTAGAAAGGATTTTCTAACTCTGAATATGGTTAAGCTCTGAAGTGGATTACCTGGAGAAATTGTGGGATATCTGTCACTTAAAGCTTTTCAGTGCAGAATAGATCAATATTTGGAGGGGTTTGGGCAAGAATAATCTTGTCTGGGGAAGAGACTGCCTAAGGTACTTTTGATCCACATTCTTCTATGATTCTATAACACTTCACACACACATACCGATTTCTTTTTTTACATTGTTTTACAAAGCATTACCTAATTAATGCACACAGCACCCTTTCTGGTCAGCATATATTTTCAGTTATAGCAATGCCTTTTGCCCTAACTTGGGTCTGTGAAACAGTTGAATTATTTTTGGAGAAACCTGGAAAAAAAAAAAAAACCCTACCAAAATGACCACTCAGCTTGAAGCAAACAGTCAGCATAGAAAAATCTCAGCCCAAATGGTTAAATTTATAAGCAGCTTAGAACACAGCTATGTAATGGAAAATACATAGTCCTAAATATGGACACCAGTGCCCGATCTGCCAACAATGACCATCCTGTGTTCTTCCAAGAAACAGGAAAATCTGTTGTGGATGTGCATTACATGGTACCCTTTGGCCACACGCCTTCCATGAGTACTGTAAAAAAATGGGTTGCAGCAACGTTGTTACCACACCAGGCTTTAGTACAGGCAGTCCTCTGACTTACGACACAACTGGTTCCTGAAAAACGCATCTAAAGTCGAAATGTTGTAACTTGGAACAAAGTTTCTCATAAGAAACAATGTTATAAATGGGGGATTGGTTCCTGAATCAAGGCCAGACACCCTACTGTCACCAAAAATAACCCAGAATTTTGTACTCGATAAATTATAGATGAGTAATATAGCTACATTAATGTATTTCTATTGTAAATAGCAATCATATGGGTTTGGAAGGACTTCTTTGAGGTGACTTTGCTGGACGTTTTGAAAGGCTCTTGGTTGGACTTTTTGAACGGTTCTTAGCTGGAGTCTTCTCAGGAGTCCTGGCTGCAGATTTTCTGGAGTCTTGTCTGCTTTCTTAAAGGTAGTGTCCAAGGAAGTTTGGACGCATGTTCTCCAGGGAGATGGGTGACGCAATGAACTTGTTTGCTGGCGTGGCGTGGCATGCCGTCAGACAGAGTGTTGTAAAGTTGAAACTGACGTCAAAGTTGAAACAGTGTCAATTTTATAAGCGTTGTAAGTGTGAAACGTAACTCGAAATATTGTAAGTCGAGGACTGCCTGTACTTCCTTTTGGAAGCATTAAAACATGGTGCAGTAACTGCCCGTATTGTGCAGCACATGGTTAGTTTTCACTGATAGTTCACCATAGCAGCCCGCTATAACAGAGGAGCATGCTGCTACAACGAAGTAGCTGCCGATGACATGTAGACTCACATGATTGCTATGCTGCCATAACACATTGTCTGGCAACCTAGCACATTGCTACGGCAACGTAGGACAACATGTAGACATGCCCATAGCCACTTTAAACCCTGGCAGAGAAATGGTGGCATCTACTCTCCACCAACCAGAGCTATTACTTTCCACAGCCTCTGCTGACATATGCCACATAATCAACACTTTTCAAATGGTTGCTCATTCTTAGAGCTATTACATACAGTACTAGGCTATTGAATAACAGGAATGCTGTCCAACACACAATTTACTCATATTGTCAAAATGTATTAAACTTTGCTTTGGCCCTTTCCAAGCAACAAGAGCTAGACATCAATTACCATACAACATTTACTGTTAATAATTGACCAATTTGCTAAAGTGCAAGGATAAAGCTGTCATTAATTTTGATGGCTTGTCAGTGCACTGCATTTTTAAAACCACAGATTAGAAAAACATCTGTTTAAATGTAACATAAGCCTAAAAAAAATGAACGGGTTTCATGTTTAACACTAAACCTCCATTAGCAACTGCAAAGCATATCTGTCTCCAAGACTATCAAACAGTTTGAATACATGCTTCATTACGAAATAGCACAACTCCCTGCTTGCAGAACAAGTTCAGATCAGTAAGCTTCTGGTCTGTGATACAGTTTGTTTTCCTTATTTCCCATTGCTCGCTAGCTGGCCTTATTTTATGGTAGGGGGTGTTGTAGATTCATTTATTAATGGACTCATGGTCAAAATAATACATGTGCATACAAACCCCCCAATCCTGAGGGATGCTAAACACCCACAAATCCCATGTGGCTATTAACAGACTGCTCAACACAGGATCAAGCCCCAAATTAGCAAAACACTGTTGCTTTAATATGCAATGAAGTGGCAGAAAACTAGCAAGCATGTTGTTACAAGCAGTGGAGAAGCAGGCACACTATTAGACTTAATTATATACCACGAAAGATATATTGTGTAACTAACATCTGGAATCTCCTTGTTAATACTGTGCTGTCTGGGACTCAATACAATCTGAGCCATTGTTTCATTCTTAGCTGTTAGCTCATCCCACACATTGTATAAGCAATACAACTCTATAGCAATGTGGTATGTGCATAACAAAGAATGGGGGAGCACTTTTAGAATAAAATGAAGACTTGAGGAGCTGGTAGCCCCGCTTACAATGGTCTCAGATTTTGGAGAATCAGATGTTTTCAATGGTTTAATTCCATCATGTTGAAGGAACAACACAGACGCATCGAAACAGCTGCAATGCCCAAGTCCTTCCACTTATACTGGGACACATGGGATTGTGTGTCAAGAAAGACAGTCAGGAAAAGTCTTTATCTCAAGTGTCATCAGAGCAAACCATGAAGCTACCAGGTACTTCATGTGTTGTGAACACTGGTGAATTTGTGAGCTTTGGGTAGCTTCACAGCCTGTTCTAATGCTTTAATATAGTGATTTCCAATCTGCAGTTTACAGACCAGCCCCAGACAACTAGAGGAACTTGCTTTGCTTACAACAGCAAAGCATTTGTCCATTTTAAGCAGGGCATGAGGGGAAATACGCCTGGGCAGCTGAGACTGATGCCTGGTATTGTGCCAGGAAGTGGAGGACCCTTCTTCATCAGCAGCCAAGCAGACCATCTCAGTCACTGCCTTACCCTCCAGTGGCATCAGGTGGTTGGAAGCTGGCTCAGCTACCTATCTGCTTTATCCCTCTGCTAAACAGTCCCATAGGTATGTCAGCAGAAGAACCTGGGTCACACAGGGTGAGATTAAGCCATTAACTCAAGGAAGCAACTGCCATCACTACCCTGACTCTTGTTAAAGTATAAAAACATCAAAAGTGGCATCGGAAAGGGACAAGGCACATAGACATCTTGGGGACAGGGTTTCAAATTCACAGGTTTCAAATTCACTTCGGGATGTCCAGACTTTACATCACAACATTAAAGTAGTTTTCATAGAGTTTCCTCCTCCCAAGCCATGGGTGGAAATGTGTAGCAATGAGTCACTGGGGCTAGGGACAGACATTCAAAAAGCCTGAGCCTGAATTGATTCAATCTTTGTAGGTTAGTCTAACTTGCCTAAGCTGAATCAGCTTGTAACTGCACAGACATCCCCTCTGGACTGAAAAAATGCCAGCACATGCACTGGCTTAGGCTAGAAGCTGGGGGGCAGGCCTAGAGCAGCCTTTCCTTCCATAGTGCTGAGCTAACGGGGGGCTGTGGCCAGGCCCTGGCAGGACACTGATTAGGAAGTTGTTCCCCCCACCTCCTTGATAACAGAGCATTTATCAGCTCCGTTATCAGTATTTAGCACCCCATCAGAGAACAAAGCCCCTCTCATTAGTTCAAGCTCTTAACAACTTTTTCCAAGGAAGTAAACATTCCAAGGAGGGACACTACCAGCTGACCTGTTGATTAGCTCCAAAAAGCCCTAAGTAAATGCTGTCCTGTCTGCCTTACACAGATACCTCTCAGCATTAGCTAGCATACAGTAACCTGGTTAAGTCCGTGCTACGGTCCATGCTGTGGGAGGGAGGGAGTGGGGGGATCCCTGCTTACGCAGCTAGTTGAGGGGGAGGAGGTGGGGCAGGAAGCATGGGGAAGCCAGGCAGACACTGCTGTGCCTGCAGGTTTCTGCC